AAAAATCGAATGAATTTTCCGTTAGAACATGGAAATATACAATCCTACCTATGTGTGTGTGTGTGTGTGCGCGCCTGTGGGGCTAATCAATCAATCAATCAATCAATCAATCAACGAAAAAAGAAAAAAAAAGTTAAAAAACGCTGTTTTTTTTTTTTTGAAATACCTTCACTCACCCGACCCCCCCAACCAAAAATTTATTTTTTTTTTATTTTTTTTTGTTCGAGGGGGTGGGGCTGGGGTTGCGCCGCCCCATGGCGCTTCCCGAATCCCCAACCCCCCTCCCCATTGGCCGCCACGTGGCTTCAAAGCTGCGCGTCCGCTCGGACGCGTCCGCGGGGTCGGCGGTCTGGCCACGTCCGCGGATTCGGCCGCGCTTGGCCGCCGCTGACGGGGATTCATAGGCTCCAGCCTCTTCCTATCCCTGAGGGAAGTTGGCAGTGCATCTCGATGGACTTTATCGGTCCTCTTCGTCCTCCGACCCCCCACGATCTTAATGCTATCATGTTCATCGTCGACCGCTTCACGAAGCGTGCACGCTTTGTTCAGTGTCACTATGCCATCAGTGCACGTGAGGGCGCCGACATCGTGTTTGACCGAGTCATGTGTGACCACGGCTTACCTCTGAGCATCATATGTGACCGTGACCCGCGCTTTACCAGCCGATTCTGGTGACGATTCCACGAGGTTTACGACACCCAGCTCCGCTTCTCCTCGTCTTACCATCCCCAGACTGATGGTCAGACCGAGGTCACGAACATGACTCTCAGAGATATTATCTGAAAGATTGTTCGTGACGACGAGCAGTGGGATCTCCATCTTACCCACGCGGAGATAGCCTACAACCACGCCGTCTCGCCAGTCAAGGGGATGTCGCCTTACTATTGCGACCTCGACTATCACCCTCGTGTCCCCGTGGACTTCCTTCGACCGTCACACATGCACCCCGATACGAGTTGTCCCGCGCTGGACGATTGGGTTGCACACATGACGTCGATCATGAAGACCGCATATGAGCACATAGCCGCTTCCTAGACTCGCATGGTAGCACGTGCGAACCGATCGAGGATGGACCATCCATTCAAAGTCGGTGATGATGTGCTTATCGACGCCCGCCACTTACAGCTCGAAGCGGACACGCTTCGCAAGTTTCGGCATCGCTTCTTTGACCTATGCCACATCCTCCAGGCCATCAGTTCTGATACGACATCTAGCCCGGTCAGCTTCCGTGTGAAGCTGGCCGACTACCTACGCCAGGCTCGTGTGCACAATGTCTACCACGTCTCGTTACTGCGTCCTTACCACAGACCGTCTGAGCGTTTCGCTGGACGACCATACGAGCGCCCGCCACCCATCATGGTGGACGGCCACAAGGAGTTCCTCGTTTCAGACATCATTGGTCGTCGAGTCACCGACGACAACCCCACCCACGTCGAGTATCTCGTACGTTGGAAAGGTTACCCTGATGAAGAGGCTACCTGGGAGCCCCTCGAGCACTTGCAGCACGCTCGCATGTTGGTGCGTGCTTATGATCGTGCTCATCGTGCTGGGTTCACTTCTCCTCCTCAGCCCACTGACCCTCCTCCTTCTCCCCCGACTGAGGAGACCGCTTAAGTCGAGCCTGCTCCATCTGAGGCAGACCTTCAGCAGCAGCCAGATGCTTCTGAGCGTCCACAACGCACTTGTCGTCATCCTGCTCGATACGAGAATTTGACTCTGACTTACCTTCCCACGTCTTTCACTTGTCAGTACTCTTGTTAGGCAGCCTTGCATGCTTCATCTAGATGCACCCAGTATACCAGGCTCCCTTGTTCCCTTGCATGGTCGATCCTCCATAGCGGTCACCCCTTTAGTCGAGCATTACCCACCCTGATGGTCTATCTGTTAGGGTCATTGGTTTTGTTCGCTCCCAGTTCCCTACCCTCATCGAGCCTGATGACATGTGTTCCCCCTGTCACTATGTGTGGATGCTCTTAGGAGTTTTCGACCCCTAGGCTGCATTCGCCATCCTCAGAGACCATCCCACCTTTTGGTTTGCGACACACTTCTCATGTGACATATGGTTCACTTGTGATGCTTGTTGCTCTCAGACGGAGGCTACTGCCTCTCACATTTCTAGGATTTAGTTGTTCTGTTTTTGCTGTTCTTAGGACTATACACTAGTCAGCTGTTTCCATACTAAGGCTACGGCCTCCAACATTCTAGGACCTAGCTCTCATTACTTTCTGCTTTCCTAGGACATGTATGCTAGTTAGTTGCTTTTGATTCACTTAGGCTGTAAGTTGTGACATTGCTATTTTGTGACAAATTCTATTCTAGGTTGCATCGCATGGACCCAACATGGAGCTTGCTCCGCATCCTAGACTACTCAGGTTTTCTTTTTCTTTGGTAGAGTTCCGCTTCTTGGCAGAAGCGTGTTTGTATCTAGGCGATCCATCACAGGCCGAGGATCGTGTAGCGGACCTCTGGTTGGCCTGTGACCAGCCCCTTGGCCTTTCCTCACAACCCTATGTTGTATTCGGGGCAGTCCAGTCCAGGCTGGTACCTCTGTCGGTGCCAGTCAGTCCAGTCCAGTCCCGTCAGTCCGCTGGGGTATACCCTAGCAATTGTCTGTTTTTGGGCTCATTCTGCATTCGCACAGTTTGGAGTACGTGGGTTGGAGTCTAGCGTGGGAGCTGCGCTGTGCCATCTCGCTCCCCCTTTTTCCTCCATCACCATCTCTATCTCTGGCGGAGCACCACCCGGCGGTTGCCTGGTCATGGAACTCTGCTACTGCTCGGACACATAGCTGTCCAGTGGAGGGAACGCATATACGGGGCTCTCTGGTGCCCTGTGAACCATGCCAGTACACAAGACTGTTGTCCCCGAGAGAGTAGTTTGGGACAGCCTTGTCACTCCGAAGGGTCGCGTGGATGTCGCGATAGTCGGGGCAGTGGCGGTACTGAGTGCGAAACTCGTCGATCACCGAGTGGTGTACGGTGGTGATCGAGATGGAAGAGAGCTGGATCTGCTCCAGGTCGTGGTCAGGGCGCCGGGATAAGGCACTTGCGATCCGATTACCCTCACCCTTGATGTGCTCAGTGGTGAAACTAAACTCGGATAGGTCGCGCCACCAGCAAGCCTGTCGAGGAGTGAGCTTCGGTTTTGTCAGAAAAGCCTGGACAACAGAGTTGTCCGTGCGCACCGTGAATGGTGCCCCGTGCAGGTAGTGGCGCCAGTGCCGAGCGACATAAACTACTGCGAGAACCTCACGTTCATCAACAGTGTAGTTTATCTCGGCGGGAAGAAGCTGATGAAAGTAGAAGGCTATCGGACAATCACCTGAGCGAGACTCGACAGTGCCGTCCTCGGCGATGGTAAGAGAATAGTCAATAGAAGGCTCGTCAGTAGCTGGACGAGTAGGCGTCAGGCGGGAGGCAGTGGTAGGGGTATGGGGTGGGAAACAAGGGATACGAGGATGAGAGGAATCAGGGGAGGAGGAAAAAATATGAGAAAGCACTGCTCCTACAGCAAAGTCTGACGCATCGGTGGTAAGGATGAAAAAGCGATCAAAATCGGGTAGGTAAAGAACCGGTGCGCATGTCACCACCTTTTTTAGGGTACGGAAGGCGTCCTCGTGGAGGGGTGCCCAAGCCCAGGGTGGGTTCTTCCGGAGGAGGGTGGAAGTGAGGACGTAGGAATACCTAGCGTATCCCTGGATGAAATTACTATAGTAGCTGGTAAGGCCTAGGAAGCTGCGAAGCTGCTTGGCGGATGTGGGGACGGGTCACTCCGCAAAAGCAATAATCTTCGCGTCGTCCGTGTGGAGACCCTGGTCAGACATATAGTGTCCTAAGAAATTCACTTTGTGCTGGGCAAAGCGGCACTTGCTCAGCTTGGCGTAGAAACCATGTCTGCGCAAGCGGTCAAGGATGTCGCGGAGGTGTCTGAGGCGCTCCTCAAGAAAACGACTGTAGAGCAGGATATCGTCGAGGTAGACGAGAACGTACTGCTCCAGGATGTCCCTGAAGATGTTGTTCATCGCCCTCTGGAAGGTAGCGGGTGCGTTGGTGAGGCCGAATGGTATCACCGTAAACTCGTAGTGGCCGAAGCACGATCGGAACGCTGTCTTCGGCTGGTCCGCTGCAGTGACGCGGATCTGATGGTAACCGCTACGAAGATCAATCTTCATAAAGAAGCGGTTGCCTGCTAGGCGGTCGAACAGCTCATCGGAACGAGGCATGGGGTAGCTGTTCTTAACCGTGTAGCGGTTGAGACCGTGATAGTCGATGCAGAGACGGAGAGTTCCATCCGCTTTGCGAGCAAAGAGAACGGGTGCACCCCACGGGGATTTGTTGGGTTTAATGAAACCCAGTCTCAAGAGCTCCTCAAGCTGACGCTTGAGTTCGGTGGCCTCGGGGATCGAGAGTCTGTAGGGTGTCTGGTGGTGAACACGATAGCCAGGCACAAGCTGGATGGATTGCTCGACGTCGCGCATCGGTGGGATGCCGGCGTACGAGAACGACGATGGGAAAATGTCGTGGTACTCTCGAATGAGGTCACGAACTGCGGGCTCCAAGTCAGCCGTATAACGTGCGAGTTCCTCAGTGTAAGCATCAGCGCGGGACGGTGGGGTGGACTCGACGGACGACGGAGGGTGGGAAGTAGAGATGGGAGTCATGAAGACAGAAGGAGGATCTGGCTCCAGAGGAATGAGCTCGGCATCGGGACAGGGTGGATCATAGTGTAAGAGATCCGTCACGTTTACCATAAAGAAGGTAACGTCGTCCTGTAGGATGAAGTGGCGAACTGTCGAGGCGAGGTGACAGTGATAGAAGGAGATGGTATAGGCACGAAAGGCTTCGGGGGAGGAGGATCAGGGCGTGGTGTCGCATTGGTACCTATGAAAGGTACGCGATACGTCTGTCCACATTTCGTTTTGAGAACAAGAGTGTTGGTCGCCCAATCGGCCTCGGTGTTGCGGAACCGACGAGACGCCACAAAGCGATCAGTCGGCTCGAGAGTGAGGAAGAAAGGGAGGTCGGTGACCGTCTGATCGAAGAAGCGTTGGGTCTTGTCATCCCCTAGGGTCACAAAGATGGGAGTCGGAGACCCTGTCGTGGGTAAGCACGCTTCTTTCACCACACGTAGGTGAATGAAGTCGCCCTGAGAACCAGAATCTCACAATGCTGAGTACACCATCGTGGAGATCCCCAGTCGTACTGGGATGATCGGGAGGGTGCGATCAGGGTCAGAGAGGATGGTGAGAAGGCGACGCAGTGCAGCGACATGGAGGGTGAGTCGCTCCTGACGAGCCTGGAGCATGTTCAAGTCCAGAAAAGAGGACACGACGTCCTCGAGGGTAGCGAGTTGCTCGCTATAATGGGCTGAGCGAATGGCTCGACGCGTCGGTAGTTGCTGAGGGGTAGAAGGGGAGATGGTGGTCTGCGGAGGCGCAGACGCCGGACGGTACTGCGACAGAGGGCTGAGTACACTCCGTCGGGTCCTGCGAGGCCTCAACTCCAGTAGCGAGAGAGGCAAACCGCAACGGGGATGTTGGGAAGCCGGCTACTGAGGAGGGCGCAGGTGTACACTGCACCGTAGCTAGGAGTCACCGCGGGGATGTGAGGCGCCGGAGGGGGACTGAGCACGACGCTGGCGGGAAAGGTCAGTGTAGTGGCGGTCGAGGGCGGTGGTATAAGGGCACCATGAGGAGGTATGACCGTCCTGGCAGCAGCGCAAGCACCCACGCCGGCCCAAAATAGCCGTGCGCTCCTCAGCGGAAAGGACACCGCGAGGAGGGACAAAGCCCTGAGGGAGGTCCTGCTGAGGAACCTCGGGGGGCGACGAGCCAGCGTGACCGGGGCGGCTGCGTGCCCAGGAGAGGGCGGAGAGGATGAGCTGGAGGCGCTTGGCCATAGGGAGAGTAGAGTCCTCCAGGTGGTGATGGACGGCCTCGCCGAGGTCGAGGTCGTCGCTATGGTTACCCTCTGGCGACAGCGGGGCACCAGCGTCCTGCTCACCATACTCGAGCGCGCTGAAGCGACGCGAGAAGTGGCGGCCCTGCTGCGCGGAACGGTGGGGACGACCGCGGAAAGGGGAACGGCGCTGGGAAGTGTCGTGCGAGGAGGAGGAGGCGTAGCCAGTACGCTGAGGCTGGGAGGAGGAGGCGGGGTGAAGACGCCCCCGCATCCGCTGAAGGTCCCTGGCGGCCTCGTAAGCCTGCGGGGCCGATGTGAACTCGTATCGCCATAACTCAGAGCGGTACTCGAGCGGAAGGATGGCCAAGAAACGATCGATAAGGGCAACCTCGGGGAGGAACGCCACGTCACAAATGAGGCAAGCGTCCTGAAAGACCTGGATGTGGCGATCCAGGTCGGTAGCGCCACCAGAGCCGGACCAGTGTGTAGTGACGACATGCTCGAAGACGTCAGTCACGTCATGCCGGGCTCCGAAGCGATCCTCGAGGAACGCCTGGAAATCCATGAAGGTCGAAGTCCGACCCGCATGAAGGGAGTAAGCATAGAAATCCTCCCAGGCGTCAAAAGGACCGCCACGCAAGAGCGTGGAGAGGTGATCCACCCACGTGTCGGGTGGGGCGCCCATGAGCTGGAGGGTGCGGGTGGCAGACTGTAGCCACCGAGACACCCGTATGCTTGTACTGTCATACAAGGCAATGCCCGTCAAGCGGACGAGTGGTGCGCCAGCATTTTGGCGGTGAGGGGATCGAGCAGCAGAGGCTTGTGCAAGGGCTGAGTAAGTCGGCGCAAGTCCTGGAGAAAGGGGCGCAGCTGACTGTGCGCCCGGGCCGCATGGGGGAGCGGCGGGGGCAACAGCGGCAGGCTGCGAGGGAGCTGCGGTAGAAGAGGTCGCAGCAACCGCGGGAGTATGAAAAAGGTAGGATGGGGCTGGATAGGGTGCAGAGCGAGGGAACTGGAAGGGTAGACGAAGGAGGGGGTGCGCCCGAAGGTGCAGCCACCTGTGAGGGTGGGGGTGACTGAAGGCGTAAGAGGGCGAGGTCGGCCCGGATTTGGGCAAGCTTGTCCTCGAGACGTTGGACGTAGATCGAGCGAGGAGTGGCAGGAGGGAGAGTGGGGGAGGTGGACGCACGGGCGGCGCGGGGCATCCCAGAGGGGGAAGAGCCTGGCGCTGCGGTCGTGCGAAGGGGAGGAAGAAGCGGGGCACCCGGAAAAGATGAGACCATGGTAGCGGGTGGTGGTCCCATGGTCGTAGTGGTCGGAATCTGGGCGGGTGCGCCCGTAGACTGAGGGAGGGCCTGACTCGTGGCGGTCGTCGAGCTAGGGGCGTGGACGGTCACCAAGATGGCTGGGTCGGGGGCAGCGGAGGAGGAAGCTCCGTCCTGGCCACCCTGTCGGAGGACTGGGGACCCGGACTGGGAGCCAGGAGATGAAGGACAGGCAGCGTCTTGGAGTTGAGATCCCCCAGCGGCTGATGGCCTTGGTTCGCCGGCACGCTGTCGGGCGGCTCCAGCCCTACGCCGCCCTTTACTTCCTTTTACAAGGGCGCGCAACGAGGTTCCCATTTGTTGGTTTCTACCTGGCAGGGGCTCACTGGCCATGGGAAAAATGTCGCGATAGGTTGACGGAATGAGTGACCGGGCTACGACGCTCAGTTTGAGCAGGGCTCGAGCATTGAACAACGGTATCTTTGCGGAAAGAGCCTAAGACGTAAGCTGTCGACGAACACAAAGAGGCTACCACTGCGGACAACTGCCGAGGGGTCGGACAAGGGGGCGCGGCCGCGAAAGGTCGGAATGATACTAAAGGTCGGTGGAATAGTCGAGGGAACAGAGGCGCCGGGCGTTTATCGTGAGGCTACGGACGTCCTAAGCGACGGTGGTGTCCGAAGTTGCCCCGAGTAACCAAATTCTCAAGAACACCCTGCGTGAACAAGCGGTGGGATCGGGCCTACGCGGGGGCCTCGACACTAAGAGGAGAAGGGTGCGGGCCTAGGGCTCAGAGATGGGCCTCCCGGCCTAGAGTTTTGGGCGGGCCTGCGTGACTTTCACAAGGGGGGCTGGTACCACTTATGAGTGGGGACCACCAAGGCCGAGATAGGCCTGGGGCAGGTTCGGAGATAGGTCCAGTACTTGGGCGCTGCAAAAGGCCCGGTTCCCGACAAAAAGGCCCTCCTCGACAAAAACCCTTCGGGGGCCCAATTAGGGTCGGACAAAGGTCCGGTACCGGGGCGCTGCAACATGGGTGCAGGCCCGAAGAGCGACGGGACCGAGGGGAGGATCCCTGCAAACTTTAAAAGCCGAACAGGGCTCCGGACGGGGGACACTTCGCACGTGCACGAACGGGAGCACACTGCTCGCATGCACAGGATAGGCGCAGGAGAAAGCACGCACGGGACGGCTCCCGCACGCTCGACTTGGCTGAAGCCTGGACGAGACACTTCCGGGGAGACGCACGGAGGAGGGGGGCTTCGTGCAAGCACGGGTAAAGGGCGTACTGGTAAGCAGCGCGCACAGGCAGCGAGTACGTGCGCACTCCTCTGTGTCCGAGACAAGAACGTGGGCTGGTAGGCAGCACGCACTGGCATACGCACGAACGCTCACCTTTGCGCACGATCCGGGAGAGGGAGAGAGCAAGCGGAGTGCACAAGCACACACATGCGAGCTCGCTCGCGATCTAGCGGGAACGGACGGGTGATTCGCGCATCACTGTGCTCATGTGCGCGTCAGCAAAAACGGATGAGGCAGCCGCGCGCATCATTGACCATACCCGCGCGCTAGCGGAAACGGGCGAGGTAGCTGCGCGCATCACTGCGCAAAACCGCGCGTCGGGAAGAAGGGCGAGGTAGCTGCGCACACCGCTGCACTCACCCATGCGCTGGCAGGAACGGACGGGTCGGGTGATTCGCGCATCACTGTGCTCACACATGCGCTGGCAGGAACGGACGGGTCGGGTGATCAGCGCATCATTGTGCTCACACGCGCACTAGCGGGAACGGACGGGGGAGTCGAGCAACACGCATCTACATGCGCATCGTCGGGAAGGGGGCGCGCTATCTAGCGCGCACACTCACCACGCACACGCGTACCCACACAAGACAGCGGGGGAGAGCCGCGGGCACCCGCGCGCACACGCGCACTATGTAGGGATAGGGGACTGACGAGCCGCGGACATCCGCGCACACACACGCGCCTTCACAGGGATAGCGGGGGAAAGCCGCGCGCATCGGCGTTCGCACGCGCACCTCACGAGAATAGTGGGGAAAAGCTGCGCAGTCGTGCACACCGCACGGGAAAGCGGGGAGAAGTCGCGCGCTTCCGCGCACGTATGCGCACCCACGCGGGATAGTGGGGGAGAAGTTGCGCACCCGCGCACTTGCATAGCCGGGCGAGGGGGACCGCGCACGGGAGCGCGGGCACGAGCACACACCCGCGCGCTATAGCCAGACGTGTTGGGAGAGCTGCAAGCGCGAACACACACACACGCGCGCTGCACCCGTGAGCGGTCAAGGATGAAGGTGCGACACGAGGACACGCACACGAACAGGTAGGATCTGGGGAAGGGTACAGTCTTTGCGCTCAGGCGGACATGCGTACGCACCTGGTCGGTCGCAATGTCGGCGGAACGAGCCATCACGCGCAGTCGGGATTCCGGATGAACGAGCTTTCCCTCGGGCGGGACGGACCAAGCACGGTAAGGAGGCCGAAAGAGGGAGCACCTCTTGAACATGAGCAAGAAGGCTCCTTTGGTCGGAGCTAGATCACTAGGCGGAACGAACTTTCAGGCACCGAGACACCGACAGGAGCGGACGTTTCATGTGGGGCGCGAGCGACTACGAGACGTTGAGGAGCGCTATTCCAACAGGGCACAGAAGGGCGCACCCCAACGGGGCACACTCAGTGACACGACAC